TTTTTTTTTTTTTTTTTTTTTTTTTTTTTTTTTTTTTCTAAATTTCTCTTTGTCCTCTTTTTTGTTGTCCTTTCTTTGAATGTAGAGTACCGCATGCACATACCCCCCAGACAAAGCGTGATGGCTGATGTTGAGGGTCTCGTAACTACATAATTGATCAACTCACGCAGAACGAAGCCTGTAAATATTACCTTGCCCCTCAGAGTGTCTGAGAAAACCCTAAAGGAGCCCGTTTCTCTTGCTTAGCCCGGATTTGACGACGCCGCAATCAATGCTCTACCATACCCTTTGGAACTCGATAAACACTTTAGTTGCACTAAGAGCACGCATGACTGTCCTCTGAAACCAATCGAGTTCGGCGTTTTGTAGGCCCGCTCAGTGTAATTGGCATAAAGTTGTAAGATTGATGACAGTGTGGGTTATTTCCTACTGCCACCCGGACTCGCAATTTTCTGTAGATCCACCGAGTATCTATTCAGATTCCGACCAATGGACATCGCACGTTTGTTGTATCTTGGCCCATCTTCGTCAATCTCAACGCAACATCAGCAAGAGTTCGGTCTTACACTTCTCGATGCAGAAGTTCGTGGTTTGCATGGCAGTCTCGCCTCCATCAGATGAGTCGTTTTTCAGACACCTAGAGTTTAGCAAAGTATCCAAAAGACCAATCCAGCGTATAGAAAAACTTAATAGCTAATTTCTGGCACTCATCTGGCTTGAGAAGTTCTTGCTCCCCCACCATTCGAAAGACCCTGTGTATACTTCTTGTTGAGTGTGCCGAGGATGCCGAGGACCGAGCTAAGACCCTGGTATTTGACGTGAACCCACCATTGTATCCTTGTATAATTGGATTGCCGTCCAGGAAGTCATCGAAACACTCAGGATTATCGATAGTCTCTCCAGTTCTTTGAATGATTCTAGTCATACGATTTACTCATACTTCTACTTTGACATGGGCCTACTTCCTAATTCGGAATTGGTTGATACGAGATGGCGTCGATTTCTGACTATGCCTATGAGGTGCTGTAGTCTGTCGATTGGTTACTATCACTACTTTTTGACACTGGAACCGACCAATAACTGTCTGTAGAAGTATAGATATCGTGCTTGCTTACAAATCCCCAGGGTGCGGGGATGGTCCTACAAGTACGGGGTAAAGCCAATCGGAGACTTCTAGGAAAGTCGCCGATCAGCCTGATACCCAACTTCCTTGAATATAAAAACGTTTAAAGATCTTCATCTCCATCTACCGAACTCTCAATTACAACTTGTCAACATGGGGTAAGTCCATTGCATTCATTACTTTGACTCAAACTAATGGAGAATCAGAGATATCGGAGCCACACAGCGTGACTACTATGACCTCGGCAACCACCGCCGCCCGGTGACCACCATCTCTACATTAGCCCAGCTCTGGGTTGATCGTGGACTGGCATGGGCCTATTCGTTCAACCATGAGGAAGCAATCCGTTGCTTTACGTGGGCATCAGAAGCCGACCCCAACTGCGCCATGGCGTTTTGGGGAATAGCTTATTCCATCGGTCCAAACTACAACAAAGCATGGACGTTCTTCGACAGAGCTGGTCTCCAGTCTAGTGTGGAGAAGGCTACTGATGCGTTGAACCGTGCCGCCAGCCTGGGTGATCAAATCACTCCTGTGGAGAGGGCGTTGATCAAGGCGCTCACTGCTCGATTCCCACCAGTCGACAACATCCCCGACGACCTAAAACCGTTAAACAGGGCATATGCAGATGCGATGCGGAATGTGTATCAGGAGTTCTCGGATGACATTGATGTAGCTGGAATGTTCGTCGAGGCGCTGATGTGTATCAGTCCTCGGGGTTTATGGGACCTGGATACCGGGAAGCCCACTGGCGACCACACTGTTGAGGCTCGTACTGTGATCGAGCCCGCACTAGCAGGGCCTGGCCATGACCATCCTGCCCTTTGCCACCTTTACATCCACTTGATGGAGATGTCTCCGTATCCTGAGCTGGCCCTACCACCTGCTGACCGACTGCGCCGCCTGGTTCCTGACGCTTCTCACATGTTGCATATGCCAACGCACATCGACATTGCAGTTGGCGATTACCGACGTGGTGTAGATTCGAACGAGGAAGCTATGGTTGCCGACGACAAATATTTCGCGCAGGAGAATACATCTGGATTATACGTGGCATATCGGGTGCACAACATTTGCGCGAAGATGTATTCGGCTTTTATATCTGGGCGATCTCAGGAAGCTCTTTCGGCTGCAAAGCGACTCGAAGAGATAATCGACATTAATGTACTCACAATAGCTAGCCCTCCAATGGCTGACTGGACGGAGGGATTTCTCGGAAGTATTGCACATGTGCTGGTCCGCTTTGGCCGTTGGGAAGAGATTCTCACCCTCAAGCTCCCAGAAGACCGCAAGCTCTACTGCTCAAAGACGGCAACATTTCTCTATGCACGTGGAGTTGCATTGAGCGCTCTCGGCCGCACCGAAGAAGCAGAAGCTACACAGAAAGAGTTTGAAGCAGTACGTGCAACCGTCCCGCCTTCCCGTATGAGTAGCATACCGTGTAAGATGGTCGAGGTCTTCGCGGTCGGTTCAGCTATGCTCCACGGCGAACTTGAATACCGGAAGGGTAACTACGAATCTGCGTTTGCCAGTCTCCGAAAGGCCATCGAGCTTGAAGATTCGCTTCCATACTCTGACCCGCCACCATGGATGCAGCCTGTTCGTCATGCCTTGGGAGGACTATTGCTCGAACAGAACCGGGTTCAGGAAGCAGAGCTCGTGTTCCGTGAGGACTTGGGCATTGCTAAAGGCTTCCCTCGCCGTAAGGCACGCATCAATAACGTATGGGGCTTACATGGACTTCATGAATGCTTGCTACGGTCTGGTAAGATTGAGGAGGCTTGTGGTATTGCTGTCCAGCGGGATATTGCTATTGGAACAGCTGACGTTCCAATTACTACTTCGTGCTATTGTCGATTATCTGCGGCTGATAAGCCCCAGACATGCTGTTCTGAATGTTAGTCTGTCCCGTGATGTTACGTAGTATGTGTTGATGGCATGAATGGCAAGCCAAATCTATACTTCATACAGCAATTGCTACACTACGATTAACTGCCTACCTTGCATAACCCATTCCTATCTCCACTGGATGAGGATCCCGTCCAATGTCACCACCTTGATGTAAAGCACGTACATCTAGCTAGTTTAATATACATTCTGGGTTGAAGCAACTATTACAGCTGCAGATTCGGTTGAGGAGGGGAATATTTGGTGGGGATTGCGCCAGTTGAGGGCATGAATGATGTCGATGGTGCAATGGTATAATAGGCGGGTGCTAAGCACCGAGTTAACAATCGCAATCGATATACACACCATTGCAAATCTCAAGTGAACGTCACTTAATTGGATGGTGCTGGTAGGGTCCACAGTGATATAATCCCGGTGATACCCCAAGGGTATTTATAATGCGGAATTCCTGCGCTTCAATTACTCTTAAATAGACCGCTCTCTTCTACAGAGTATTCCAGCAACTATCACATACTTCTTTACAACCTCACTGCCGCCAAAATGACCACCAGCGTGGAACTTAACGATCAAATCTCTATCCCCATCGTACGCAGCATCCCACTACCCCACATCTCCAAATCCCCAACTAACATAACACAACCAGCTCGCCTATGGCACCGGCACAGCCTGGTACAAGTCCGCAAGCGACACTACAGTCAACCGCGAACTAGTCGAAGCTATCAAAACCGCCATCCGCCTGGGCTACCGCCATCTCGACGGCGCCGAGGTCTACGGCACCGAAGCGGAATTGGGAGTCGCGATTAAGGAAAGCGGGGTTCCGCGCGAGGAGCTCTTCGTGACGACCAAGGTTATCACGAATATCGCGGACATCCAGGGCGCTATTAAGAGCAGCTTGGAGAAGTTGCAGTTGGATTATGTCGATTTGTATCTAATTCACTCGCCTTTCTTCGCAAAGTCCGATGCGGACCTTCAGTCTGCTTGGAAGGAATTGGAACAGATTCAGCAATCTGGGAAAGCTAAGGCCATTGGTGTCTCGAATTACCGTCGTGAACACCTCGAAGCTACCCTTGCGACAGCATCTATCACTCCTGCTATCAACCAGATCGAATACCACCCCTACCTCCAACAAGGCGATTTACTGCCCTTTCACCGCGAAAAGAGAATCAAGACAGCTAGTTACGGTCCCCTGACCCCCATTACCCGTGCGGCCGGAGGCCCTGTTGACGCGAAGGTGAAGGAGTTGGCAGGAAAGTATGGAGCTTCCGAGGGGGATGTGTTGCTACGGTGGTCGATCGAGAAGGGGGATGTTGCGATTACGACTAGTGGGAAGGAGGAGAGGTTGAAAGAGTATCTTCGTGTGTTGGAATTTCAGTTGGAGGAGGGGGAAGTAGAAGCGATTACGAAGCTTGGGGGGGAGAAGCACTATCGGGCTTTCTGGAAGAAGCAGTATGGGGAGGAATAAGCGTTCGATTCCATGTTGAGGGTTTTGTATTCCGTAGAGGACACGAGATGGCGTGGTACACACAAAAACATGCAATCGATCTCACCTGTTTGGGCTGATTAGAATAGTAAGCATCCCCTGAAAACAGGATTTTCTTTCGTAGATCGAAAATGGCCTATGAACCATCTCTCGACTTGATTATAAATCGATATAAAGGTATATAACCGATATAACCGAGAATCGTCATCCATAAATTTGTACACCATCCTATTCAAAGGGAAGGAATTTAGGAACGAACGCCGTTGAGAATAGTTATTCAATCATCACCATGGGTAAATCAGTGTTCCTCATCGGCCCTGGATTCATCGGAAAGGAGATCCTTAATCTTCTTATCCAAGAGAACTACGACGTGACCGTGCTCGTACGTCGTGAATCCGCAACCGCTGAATTCCAAGCACAAAACATCAAATCGGTGCTGGGCTCCCTGGACGATAAAGAAATCATCCAAAAGCAAGTGGTCGCCAGCGACATAGTCTTCCACACAGCAACAGCAGACCATCTCCCATCCGCAGAAGCCGTCATCGCCGGCATCAACCAGCGCGCCAGAAACAATCAGCACACGATCTACATCCACACAAGTGGTGCAAGCCTCCTAGCCGATGAAAGCGCCGGTGCATTTAAGAGCGACAATGTCTTCGACGACGAGCGACCAGAACAGATCGATGCACTTCCTGACACCGCGCCGCACCGCCAGATAGACCTAGCAATTCTGCGTGGTCGTCAAACGCTTGGTTCCCAAGCAAAATTGCAGTCATGATTCCACCAGTCATTTACGGCGTCAACCAGCAAGACGGCCGACTGTCCATCCAACTGCCAACCCTGGCCCGCTACTCCCTCAAGCACGGTTATGCAGGCCAGATCGGCGAGGGTCGTTCTGTGTGGGGCCAGATTCACGTTAAGGACCTTGCGTACGGATACATGACTATCTTACACTGGCTTGAAAGCACCCCTGCAGAGGAAGCCTTGAAGAATCCGTACTGGTTCTGCGAGAATGGTCAGGAGCTCTCCTGGCATGAGTGTGCGGAGGTGATCGGACATGTTCTGCACCAGGCGGGCCGTATCAGTGACCCTGTGCCTAGGACTATTCCGAAGAGTAACTACGGTGATGTATTTGGTGAGTATTCGAATGCTGTTGCGGGATCGAACTCGCGGAACCGGGCGAGTCGGTTGCGGAAGTTGGGATGGGCGCCTGCGGAGAAATCGACGTTTACGTCGCTGGCGGAGGATGAGATTCCGTTGATTTTGGAAGAGAAGGGGGGTTTTGAAGGGTATCAGAAGGCGGTTGCTTCATGATTAAAGTTTTCATCACTGCAGCATGTATCTATCGAATAGCTAGTGAATGCGACTAATACAAACTTGACGCTTGGTATGCTGTTTAGGCTACTGGTGACTTACGTAGAAGCGTTTCTTGCTGTCTATGGACCATGTCGTGCACAGTGAAGTATGGTAATTGCCTATGTCCATGTTCTGAAACACGCCAAACACATACATTCATCGTTGATATGATCTACTTGGAGAAATAACAAATGACCAACCCTATGTATTTATTCTTGGCCACCTCTCATAAGATTGAAGAAAAACGACCCAAATCTCCTTTCCCTCTCTGGCGTTCCCAACAGTCTCGCCCACGTAAGAGGTCCGATTTCTTGTCTTTCCACCCGCGTTTGCTGGCCGTCAAAAACCATAATCTTCTTTCCCTCCGAATAAGTCTCCCAGGGAGAAGACCCATAAAAATACTTTATAGGCATATCTGAGAATGCATCGGTGGTAGCTCGACAGGACAAGGGGGCCTCATTGCTTGAAACAGCAGGAAGACGACACAGATATGCGAGATCTAAGAGGTGGTAGGCGTTTCCTTGGTGGATGCTGCTATCTTGCACATCTGGCTGGTCGAACCTGTACACGTGAACCGACAATTGAAGTTTTTCTTGAATACGTTATACCCCACGCGGTGAAAACAAGCATCTGGTGCTAGACCACGTAGCCGGTCGATTGCATCCGAATAGGCGAGGGTATCTTTCAACCCATTGGCTTCAAGAATCTCAACGGCAAAGCGCTCGTCCACATCATCCGCTCCAGGACGGAGTGCGGCTCTGGCACTGTCCACCACCTCCGTTCTTGTTTTGAACATCTGATCTAGAGGGAAGATAGCCACTTCATCTCGTAGTAATCCTACCACGGCGCTTTCCGCCCATTCTGCCAGTTTTCCAGCGCAATCAATCGATCCAGTCAACAAAGTCTTATCGCTGAACCAGTTTGGATCCCAATTGGGCGTTGCCATGATTTGCCCATCAAGAAGATCCACTATTTTCTCATCCGGCAAGGCCCGCAGCGCAGCTACCTTCTCAGCAGCGGGGGTGTTAGCCGGAATTCCGATACGCAGGGTTAAGGTGTCGAATTTCGCCTGTGCCGCCTGCGGGTTTTCGAGATTCCACGATGGTCTAGATTGAATGATGCCTCGCTTGCGGACTGACTCGTTGGATTGGAGATGCGCGAGGACTGAGAATCCTCCGGTTGACTCGCCTGCGATTGTTATTTCGTCGGGGTTACCACCGAAATGGGACACGTTGTTTCGAATATGGAATTATCGTAAGGTGGTTTATTGAATTGCAAGCGGGATACGAAGTACTTATCCATCGCAACGCTACTCGTTGGTCATGTAAGCCTTGGTTGGCCCACCACGTCTCACCGTGGCTCTTTGCATCAGCGGCTAGCTCAGCAGACGAAAGAAAGCCGAAATAGCCCAGGCGGTAGTTGATCGAAACAAAGATGAACGGTTTTCCAATACTAGAATTGTAGCTGACCAGGTAATCACCGGCTAAGAGAGAGAGAGAAAGGGAGCATAACGTTAGTCAACTACACAAGAAATAAAAGGGTGCTGACAAATTGAAAAGCTGACATACTAAATCTGCATTCCCATTCTCAATCACCAACCCACCCCCATGTATCCAAACCAGAACCGGCAGCTCCTGTTTGAATAAGACCGCCTCTGCAGGTACATATAAATTCAGCCTTAGACAGTCTAGATCGTCATACGTGTAAGAAATTTGCGGGGTGCCCTCGAATAGATGCTAGCTGATATGGCGGAAGGGATCCGTTGGTTGAGGACAGACAGGTCCGTATTGCGTCGCATCAATTGAACCAGACAGTGCCCGCGGATTCAGAAGTTGGGATTCATGGAATCGAGCTGGAACTGTAGCATATAGTACGCCTAGGAAACACGTACCCTTTGAATGGGGCGGTTTCGTGGACTGGGGCTTCGATGGTTGTGGAGGACATAGTGTAGATGAGGCTTTAAAATTTGGTGACGGATGTCAGAAGTCAGGAGAAAAAGATTATAGCGGTAATTCTGAGTACTTTATTTCTTTTCATATGCTCTTTTTTTAGATGCGTGATTGATGATCTTTCCTTTACATTCGGGTAGCTAGGATCGGCTCGGCTATATGCTTTATGGCCATATCTTAGACAGCTTAGAGAGTGAATCAGGTTGACGTGACGTTCCTTTAATGAGAATATATATATAAACATGGCGTCTTCGACTTGCACCATAAGGGTATGGTGTAGTGAGACGGCATAATGAACTACAACGACAGATCGTTGTTATATGGTAAAACCCATGAAGTGAAAAAATCAGGGAAAAGCATGGGACCACCGACAGGATGTATCAGGTTTTCGTTATAATTGGCCGCAACGGAAACCGATGAGACTTCCGTCCAAGACGGATCCAGATAGGAAGAACTGTCTTGTATCGAAGCGGAAGCACCGTTCTTTCGTTGGGAAGTATCGGCTGCAGCATTGTGAGATTCTCTACCATTTGAATCTCCAGATGACAATAGAAAGTCAAACAGCCTCATTGCCCATTTTCCAGGATCCCAGAAGTCCTGCGCTTCGTTCAATACCATCTGGCAGTTGTCGAAACATGCTCTAGTCATTATTGCAAAATTGTCGGTTTCAGATTGCTGCGCCTGTCGACAGAGGATTACTCCAGCAACGAAGAAACCGGAGAATATCTCGTGTGGGAGGAATGATAAAGTAGCCTTCGTCATAAGTTTGACTGATAATGACGATATTGTTAGAGCAGAAGACTTTGCTATTTGGTTCGAGCTCGTATCGCAAACGGATGGTCGGCGTTGACTGGCCTGGAATTGACCAGCAGGGTTCATGTGTAAAAGAACTAGAAGATAGTTGTATAAGGTCTCTAACTGTGTAGACTGAATGACATTAGAGTTCATGCTGATTGGCCAGCCAATTTCGATCGGGAGATCTGACTTCCAAACAGCGAGCTGCTGCTGAATATGGTCAAGGGTTATCGAGTCGGAAACTGGACCAAAACGAAAATGAATGATATTTCGTAAGATGAGAGATAATTTGCACGATTGAATCTGATACATGAAGGCGGCTTTGCAAGAGCAACTGTCGACCGGTTCATGATTGTGAGGGAAGTCTCCCAGAGCCAACACGTCGGTATCGCACTGAGCGATGTTTATTCGAAAAGGACGGCCTAACAGGGCAGAACAATGAGCATCACGAACAGCTAGGGCCCACCAGAGCCTTTTCAGAAGGCTACGATCATTGGGAGGCCCGCTGGCTGCCACCTCTGCTCTATGCAGTCCCAGCGACACGGCCATAGTGACACCAATCTCGATCCATGAGCAGGGGTTCCAGTAGCAGTTCAATCGTGGCCCCTCAAAGCTTAGAAGGATGCACACCTTGAGCAGAACCGCTTTGCTCTTTTCGTAGCTAACGTCAAAGAGAGCCTTTGCTTTGCTATAGTAATGATGGCGTGCCTCTGACCGCGATTTGAATCCAGCAATGAAGATCAACGAAGTGTCGCAGAACGTCATGGCAACAAAGCAGATAGCATGCAAAAGGATCCATGGGAGCTTGCGAGCCCGGTAGGCTCGGCGAAGATCTACTGGATCGACCACAGCATACAAAAGATAGAAGCGATTCAGAAAAACATCCATCATAGAGTCAAACGCTCCCTCTGAAGGGTACATGAAAGCCCCTTTGGCTTTGAGATACTCTATATCACATGGGTCCAAGTGAGGTGGGTGTATATCATCTTGAATTACCGTCAATGAGTTGCTATTAAGATTGTGCTGGCTGATATCGTGTAGCACTTGGCCCTGTCCTCTTCGCAGCTGTAGAGCAAAGGTCAAAGGAGAGGGTTCCCCAAAGAGAACCAACTCACATTGGCCGACGGTATCTGGGCTCTTTCGGCCAACATGATCTTCAAACATGGATGAGAGAGATTTGGAGCTCACGGCACAGGGCGAAGGCCTCACAGTTGCGGGGGGCGGCATGCCCGCTCGCTCAACATATGAAGCACGACGGTTCGACATCTCTGCCGTACTGCCATCCACGTTTGAAAAACAAGGCTCATTTTCATCCGCGCCAAAGGAAGTTTCTGCATCTTCGCATTCTTCACGGCTGGAAGCAAGCACCGCCGCACTTTGCTCACTCGATGGCTGGCGCGGAGATTGGTTCGACGAGGCAGGGGGGACCCTCTGTTGTATCCGAGCTGCTTTGCGATCGTATGTACCCCTTTTTGAAGAGACCAAAACGCAATTTGGAACACCGTCCATTCGGCAGCGGCTGCAGGGGAAGCCAACTAACGTCGCATCGCATTTAATTTTCCGCTGATTGCATCGCTGACAGGCTTTGGCTGCTCGTAACCGGCGCTTTCCAGACTCCATTTTGCAAATTCGATACTGCCGGAGCTTGGCCCTATATTTTGCAACAATTACTGCAAGGCACAGGCATGTTCAGACCTATACGCAGTAGGGAATAATGTAGTCCTCAAGATGTGGCACCATGCAAGAAGAGATGCCAAGCATGAACGCTAATACATGCTGTACTCAGGTGTGGAGAAAAGCAATAGGAGACCTGGATGCCCGGAGAGGGAATGTGAGTGTCGTTTAGAGCCACCCGTGTAGGGAGGCAGAATGATTTGAACATATAGAGAAGGCGGTACCAATTGACCAGCATGTTCTGTATGGACCCTAGCCCTAATTTCTTCTTCTTATCGTCATGAGCGATGCTTGTATTAATCAAGATAATACATGGTTTACGAAAAACCCGTGTTAATGAATCTGCAATAATACTCGAATGGCCAGCGATTTCCCCTTTTCTACGTCTTCCGACGGTCGGATGCCTTCTGGGGTTTGATCGTTTCCAACATACAGCCGCGGCTATATGGCCCCACCTCTTGCTATCGCCACCTCAGGACTGGTTTGATCGTCTTGCCATTTTTCACATCTTCCAAGGCCTGATGACTCTGATCCAGATTGTAGTACGAGATCAGTTTTTCAAGAGGAAACAAGCCTTCTCGTTGCCGTTCGATCAAGAACGGAATCATCTGATGACATTGGTAAGCGACAAATGAAAGGACAGTAGTACATGGGGGTACTGTACCTCGCTGGCTATACTGTCTCCCTGGTGACATCCCACATATTGCCGACCCAAAGTCAAATGGGAGAAGACGTTCATAGACACGCGTTTAGTCGCATCCGGAGCACCTACACTGACCGCTCGGCCACGAGTAGCAAGCGAGTCGATCATGTTTTCAATAACCGGAACCGCACCCGAGCAGTCCAAGGCAAATGCGACCCTGTTATGAGGCTGGCAGATGCTCCGAATTTGCTGGACAACGTCACCGTCATTCCCGACAAGGGCATGGGTTGCGCCTATGTCCAAAGCTAACTTCAAGCGTGAGGGTTGCAGATCCACTGCGATGATTGTCTGTGCTCCCCTCATCTTGGCGGCCATGATGGCGCTCAACCCCACTGATCCAACACCGAAAACGGCAACAGAACTTCCAGAGGAGACGTTGAGAGAGTTGAGTACGGCCCCGGCGCCAGTCTGTATTCCGCAGCCCAGAGGGGCGAAAAGCTCCAAGGGCGTATCGTCTGGCACCTCCACTACACTCGATTTGCTCACCACGGCAAGCCTGGCAAAAGAGCTTTGACCAAAGAAATTGGCAAAGACTTCCTTACCTCCAGGCAGAGTGACTGTTGCGCTGCGGTCAAGGCGTCGTCCCCCAAAATTCATGGGGAGCAGCTTTTCGCAGTAGGCAGGACAATGAGACGCGCACTGTGAACAGCTTCCACAGAAGTTATAACTCAGTAGGACCTTAGCGCCGATGGAGATATTCTGCACGTCTTGTCCTTTTTGTATGACAACACCAGCGCCTAGTATTTACCCTTAGCATCAACGTCTCTATACATCTTAGGGAAAATTGTCGAAAAAAATAAAATAAAATAAAATAAACAAAAACCTACCCTCATGGCCCAGTATACAAGGGAACTTGACTGGCAATTTCCCATCCGCACAGGCAATATCCGTGTGGCAGATACCAGTAGCATGAATTTCCACAAGAACCTCATTTGATCTTAGTTCGTCCAGGATTACTTCGGCCAATTCAAAACGAGCGCCTGCGGAGCACACGGCCAAACATTTGGTTCGTTGAGCCATGATATGGGTATAAAGGAGAGAGTATGGAGGGACAGTAATAGAGAGTAGTAAATGCACAAGTAATCTTCAGAAACTTAGGGCCCTGACTGACTCCTTTTAAGCTTAAACTTTGGCAATGGGCTACGTATACACAACGTACCAACAAGGACTTGCCAGTACGGAGCACTTCAGACGAGCGCATCTTCTAGACTATGCCACTTAGAGCACTTTGGGGAATTAGTGCTTTCTCCCGTGCTGTTAGCTGTGGAGAACGGCTATTTGCTCACCCTCCCCGCAACTCCGACCCTTTCCCCTTGGGGAACCGAATTTCGGAAGGAGGACCCTTTCCGATCGGTTGCTTGTTAGCATGATATTTAAATAGAGGAATGCTCGTTGAGTAATACTACACAGGCAAACGCTTTAATTGTTTGCCGAAACCGGAAAGCATATCATGAGCACCACCGCTGAGATCGAAACTCGTCTTTTCATAGACGGCGAATTCGTCCCCTCGTCTGATGGGGGAAAGTTTGACATTAGAAGCCCTTTTACAGGCGATCTAGTTGCCCAGGTGCATGAGGCGAAGTCCGTGGATGTTGACCGCGCGGTTGAGAGTGGGAAGAAAGCATTCCCGGCATGGGCAGCTATGGATGGTACTGTCATCTGCTCATACCAATGTATCCTCGACTATGAAGCACAGAGCTGATGAATGGCATGACTCTAGGATCCACAAGGAGAACGCTCATGTTGAGACTGGCTGATCTGGTTGACCAGAACATTTCGGAGTTCGCACGACTCGAAGCTCTGTCTATGGGGAAGCCTGTCTCTTCCTATATGGACCAGATTGGTACAGCAACACTCAGGTGTAAGTATCCTAGGACAATCTATTATTGCCTCGTCGGTTATTGACATGTTTCCAGATTATGCGGGAAAGGCTTTGGACATTCACGGCGAAACTTCACTAGTCTCAGAGGGCCAGCTGAACTTCTCACTCAAGCAGCCATATGGGGTCACTGCGGCCATTATCCCATGGAAGTAAGTCGACCATACATAAGCAGACTCGCTAGATGAACATTTTTGACTCTTCATAGCGTCCCCTTGATTATGATCTGTTTTAAAGTCGGCCCCGCACTCATTGCTGGAAATACCATGGTGCTGAAGTCCTCCGAGAAAGCACCCCTGACCTCCCTTCTTTTTGCTCGGCTCGCAAAAGAGGCCGGATTTCCTCCCGGAGTCTTCAACGTTCTGTCGGGATTTGGCCAGACTTGCGGGGATGCCATCGCTCGCCACAAGGAGATCCGCAAGATTGCATTCACGGGCAGTTCAAGGACAGGTAAACTCATTCAGAAGGCTGCAGTGGAGTCTAATTTCAAAGATTGTTCTCTTGAGCTTGGGTAATGACACCCCCATCTAATTCTTAATTGCTATTAGTGTTTAGAAGCCAGTCCGCTGACGTGATAAACAGGGGAAAGAGTCCAATAGTGATCTTCGATGATGCTGATCTCGAAAAAGCAGCTAAAGCCGCTGCCTTTTCTATCGTGGTTAACTCCGGCCAGGTGTGCATGGCATCTTCACGGGTCTACATACAAGATTCGATTATGGACCAATTCAAGAAATTATATCTCAATGCAATCCAAGCAGTACTGGGAATATTGGCGACCCGTTGAGCAAGGACACAAGTTTTGGGCCCCAGGCGGATACACAACAACACAAGAGCGTTTCTGCGTTTGTGGAGCAGGCTAAAAATGACAGACTGAAGGTCCTGTTGGACTCTTCGCCTGACAAGGATGGGAAAAACTTCGTTTCTCCCATGGTGCTGCATGATGTGCCCGAAAGTCACAACCTTATGCAAGAGGAAATCTTTGGGTAGGTTTCTCTGTAGTACTACCCTACCTAAGAGCATTTAACCTAACAAACGGTTTTTCCTAGAGCCGTATCCTGCCTTAACACCTTCAAAACGGAAGAAGAGGTTATCTCCCGGGCAAATGACTCCGAGTTCGGTCTGTATGCCACCGTCTTTACTTGTGATTTGAACAGAGCCATCCGTATGGCGAAGAACTTCGAGGCAGGCTCTGTCGGTGTAAATATCAGTTCTCCTTATTATTGCCAGGATCTTCCTATGGGCGGCTTTAAACAGTCTGGGACTGGACGAGAACTTGGGAAAGAGGGGCTTGACATGTGGACTGAAGTCAAGTCGGTATATGTTTCGTTGGAGTGATATATTCGTATGCTATATTTTACTGTCTGCACTGGAGCAATTTCCGCAACGAAAACAATATTTGTTCGTAACCAATCCTCACCTATCTTTTATGATAGCGGGTAAAAGAGCGAAGTCTGAGATAATGTCCATTATCAAGGTATCTATCTACTGCGCCATGATTCAGAATTATGCAATACACTAGGGAAGAAAAAAGAATTCAATCAATTTGCCTACATCCCAACGCAGACTGGAAGATGTATCACTGTTCAATCTGCGACAAGTGGGACGGGACGCCTCACGAAACTGGCTGGAAGAAAATAGTGCGGGCATGTTAGTCCTAAATAACTCGCAATCACTACCTAATCGATACTAAGCATTCATACAAAGTACATCGAGCCCCCGATACCGAAGAAATTGTATGAAAGAATCCCTTTCAAGCAATTTGAAGTCAACAAGTCAAACAGGTCAAGGTATACAGTCATTACAACCTGCTCTCCGCATAATTTCCTCTTGTCCGTGACCGAGGAGTCGATCACATCCTTGATTGCCGCTCCCCTACTCTCACCGACGATATTCGACTTCTGACAGACAACAAGCTCCGTCTAGTCCTCCATTGCATCACGACCAGTAGATCTATCGCTAGATGCTGTGAAGCCCTTGTACCTCCGTCTGCTGACCGTGATATTCAGTATCGCGGTTTGTTAACTGTCGGAGACCTTCCACGATCTGATGTCAAGGCTGGATTCATGTTGGCGTACACAGCCTTTGGTGAATCCTTCCAGAAATGGGATGATTATTATCATGGCAGTCCCGAAGACACGCGATTTACAGGAGATTTTATGAAGCTAACGTCAGGTTTGCTCCATGCAAAGATGATTTAGAGCCATCCGGCAGAGGTTCAATCTGGCGGTTTGACGGATGTCTCGCAGGGCCAGGATTGTCTGTGCAAAGGGGACATGAGTGGGATGAAATTGGGTTATACTTGTAGAATTGCTAGATTATGTATGACTTATGTTGTAACATTTCATCAGAAGCGCAATTCCCATCCAATCTGAGGGCCGATCTTGGGCAACTCATCCGCCACGCTCTGCACGTCTTTATCACCCCGGCCACTCATACACAGTACAAGGTTCTTGCCGGGTCCCAGCTGCTTAGCGGTTTCAACCGCCCCCCATACCGCATGTGAGGTCTCCAATGCCGGAATAATACCTTCCAGCTGGCTCAGAAGTCGGAACCCGTGCAAGGCCTGCGCGTTAGTGGCCGAGAGAAAGGTCGCACGGTTGCTCTCCTTCCACTGAGCCAATTCCGGTCCAACGCCAGGATAGTCCAGTCCCGCAGAAATGGAGTGCGTGTCTAAGATCTGGCCATGTTGGCCCTGTAGGACGTACGTCCGAACACCATGTAAGACACCGACGAAACCACCGCTCAAGGTAGCTGAATGCCGCGCCGTGTCCAGACCGTCCCCGCCGGCTTCCACCCCGACGAGCTGAACGGAGGGAATTGATGAGAAGGGGTAGAACATGCCCACCGCATTCGAGCCTCCTCCAACGCAAGCAACCACGGCGTCCGGACTTTTGCCTAGCTCTTTCAGTTGCGCCTTGGTTTCGTCTCCAATGACCGACTGAAACGTGCGCACGATTGTAGGGAAAGGATGAGGCCCAATCGCAGAGCCGATAATGTAATGCGTAGTATCCAACCGCACAATCCATGCGCGAAAGGCCTCGTTCACGGCGTCCCGAAGTGTGCGCGATCCAGCCTCCACAGGGACAACCGTGGCGCCCAGCAACCGAATCCGAAAGACATTCAATGCCTGGCGACGGACATCCTCAGCACCCATGTAGATCGTGCACTTCATGCCAAACTTAGCGCACACAGTGGCAGTCGCGACACCATGTTGGCCTGCGCCAGTCTCGGCGATGATCTCAGTTTTCCCCAACCGACGCGCGATCAGGATTTGGCCTAGGGCATTGTTGATTTTGTGGGAGCCCGTATGGTTGAGGTCCTCCCGTTTTAGCCAGATATTCGCTCCGCCAGCATTGCTCGGTCAATTGATGAGCCAGATGCAGAGTGGACGGCCGGCCCATGTAGGGATAGTAAGAGCGGTACTCCTCCCAGAACGCGGGATTTTCCAGCGCCGATTGGAACCCGGCCTCTAGCTCTGCTAGACAGGTCGTCAAGGCTTCGGGGACATATTGACCACCGAAAACACCGAACCTTCCTGTTCCATCTATCGCAGTTGTTGTTGTTGCATCCTCCGTATCTTCCTGGGAGACCTCGCTGTTTTCTACCACGGCCGTAGCTGCCGCGTCGCTGTAATCCCGGATTACATTCCTTTCCGTGATTTGCGAGCAGTAATTCTCGACTGCTCTTGCAGCCTTCTCGGCTGGGGCATCAGCCAGCACCGCAATTATCTGACTGCCAATAACGGCGCCATCCGCAACGGAGGTCACACTTTTAAAATGCTCGCGGGTGCTGATGCCAAACCCAACGGCCACGGGAACATTACCAGACAGCTCCTTGACACGCTTGATGAAGGCAGGGAGGTCTGCATTGAGGGATCCGGTGGCGCCGGTGACGCCCATGCGTGAGACGAGATAGATGAAAGAATCGGCTATGCCACAGAGAATTTTCATGCGGTCTTCTGTGGTTGAGGGTGCAATAAGGGGGACATACGAAAGTCTATGGAGTTGAATCGTTAGAAGATCACCCATTGTGACAACCACATCAGAAAGGGCGCCACATACCCAGTCTTTGTGCAGCCGTTGCGGAATCGGATCGCTTCTTCTGGAGGTAGATCAACGATGATGAAGCCGTTAACTCCAGCTGCCTTGCAATCGGCCAGGATCTGGGTCTCCCCATAGTGCAACAATGGGTTATAGTAACCCATGAAAAGCACCGGCGCTCTTAGCGCCTTTTGACGGGCTCCTCGGACCATGTCCAGCATGGAGGAAACGGTAACGCCATTCTCGAGGGCTTTCAGATTGGATTTCTGAATGGTCGGGCCGTCTGCAATGGGATCCGTGAAGGGTAGACCCAGCTCAATTATATCTGAAATACGGTCACTCAAATTATTCAAATGGCCATTTCATCAATATGGGAAGGACAGACTCACCAGCCCCTCCGGCTTCCAAGCCAAGCATGACCGCTGGGGTTTCCTCCACCGTAGGAAACCCAGCCGTCACGTATGTGACCAATGCCGGCCGGCCTTGCTGCTGGCATAGGGTAAAAGTTTGCCGGAGATGTTCCATGTTGAGTTGATTATCTGTCAATTGAGCAGACAATGTAACCAGAAGAAGAAAGACAAAAGTATTTATTTGGGCCTTTGCTTGATTAGGGCCTTCCTGCAAAAAAAAAAGTCCCAGCGGAATGACTCACAAGAACAACCACCAACATCCCTGCAAATAATAATAGAACTTTTTGTCTTTGTTAACTAGCGATATCAACCAACAATGAATCCTTCAGTACGATGTGAGACGCTTAATTGGCCCATACATTCCAGGATGCATACTTCAACCTCCATTCTTAGCGGTTCCGGCTGTGCCTGGTCTGGGTGCTCTCTAAATTTTATAAAGATGATACCCAAGGTGCGCAGCACCTGCAACGAATGCCATGGGCAAAAATTCTGCTGCCGTATCCCTCCCCGAGTAGGACCCTGCCAGGCCTATTCAATCTCACGGCGCCAGTGTGTGTTATTTCCTGCCGCGACACAAGGCTGGTCGCCCACAGAGAGCCAGTCAATCCGTATCCAGCGCCCTGTCCAGCCCACACCTCTCTACAGCAACTAGAGAATGAGGTGATATCCTCAAACAGCCTGAGCATGTGGATTCAGGCCACCCCCTCCCTTTATGGACTATGCATTGACAACCAACGACATCCCGTCGCTGTCTCCTCCTGAAATAGCCCAATTATACCAGCGGTCCACTCCCCAACATGCTCCCCGACTACGTACTGATCAATGACACCGCCGATTCCTGGCCCCAGTCGCACAGTGATGGAGAAAGTGAAAGCGGATTATCGTCGCGGGGCCGGATAGGTGACGGCCCGTTGTCGGATGGATCCGTGAAGGGTCCCCGATTCCCAGTACGACTAGTAGTACTATCTCTCCCCCATAGCCCGTATCGGTTGCTCCATGCCCCGGAGATAGCACGAACATCGACTAGGATCGATGCGAGAATGCATCGGTGCCATACTTAAAATTGTTGGAAAAAAAAAAAAAATGCAGTGAGCTCGATCGCTCGGCAGACATGTTATAGGAGCAAGACCATCACCACCAGAGAGCCATCGTTATTTTCCCGTCCATTCTGCGTGCGATAGATGCCCACTTGAATTACATGTAGTGCTCACCGACGAGCATCTTGCGCTCTGTTGCAAAGCATCCCTGGACCCTGCCCTTCTGGCCCTGGTCGTGGCGGCCAATTTCAAGATCCTCCAGGTCTGCGGCTTGCTGGTCCTTATCTGAGACACAGAAAATCCAGAATGTCAAAATAAGAATATCAGATATTTGCAATAGATTTGTCAGTCATATACAATAGATCACAGATCACAGCGGGATAGATATGACAACATCCTCCCATTACAAAAAACGCCTTGTCAAATGCAGTTTAACCCAAAATTTTATAGTAGCCAAGCAGCAACAGCAACTATTAGTAATGCAGAATCAACATATGGAACTGGGCCTTTTTTAATAGCTGTTGTTGTCATGGCGTTTTAGTTATTGCGGCTGAGTCAAGCTAGATATGTGAGTAGATTCAATGATATCATGTGATAGCTTCTGCCTTCTGCGTATGTTGGAAGGTGATGAGAGCAAAAAGTAAACCGAAAAGATTGAGTTGCTTGCCCTGGTAGGGCATTAGGAACACTGCATTTCTTTGTCAGAGCCAATATCTGGCTCTGTGACGAAAGGATCGAGACGTTGAGCGCGTTTCTCGAGTTCCAGGGCAAACGGTGTCACCGTGAAGCTTCGGAAATCCGGACCATACGTAATCCAGCGGTGGAACTGCAACCATTAGAATCTACCTCTTGAGGACAGAGCAAAAAGACCAACCATCGCAAGTCGAACCCCTAACCACAAACACCGATACATCCTAGCCATACTCAAAGAAGGCACCTCGATCGTACGCCCTTCATCCTCTGCCCAAGCCCCCTTGAAATGATCCGCAGGGAAATATCCCTGACTCCAAATCTGGCCCCGGAGGAGGAAATCCTCCGGAAAGCACTTCCTGTCATCTGCAACGGGGAATTCTGCGCGTTCAAGGACGCGGAGATCCGTGTTGCTGCGCAGCATTGCATTCAAGAAGGTGGAAAGTTTGCCCCATGGAACAACCACTTCAATATGCCTTATGCTGGTGTTGTTAAGAGCCATGCTCCAGGTAAAGGCAAGGTAGGCATGCACAGCTGGAAAGACGTTCTTGTTGCCTATCTGATCCAGGAAGGCAGAGAAAGTTTTGAAGGCGAGATGAGCGCCGTAGTAGACCGTTGTTTGAGACTGCGAGTTCAAGAACTCGCAGAACTCAGCTTCAATCGTGTCCACTTTATCAACAGACGTCCAGTTCTCTGATGAAGCCATGGACTGTTCTTGTGGCTGCTCTTTGAATTCAGCAGGCACCACAGCATCAGCAACCCCGTACTGAGAAATGGCAGTAAAATTGCATGATGCCATATAAACCCCGTGTAACTTGAAAGAGTTCGCAAGTCGACTAACATACTTATCCAGATGAAGCAGATACTCGTTCACAAGCACCTTGAGATCAGAAAGCGGACCTTGTGAGAAGAGATTGCCATGAGCAGCCACAAACGCAGAAGCAACTACCGGTTGATTATATGGTTTGGGGCCGTTCAGAAGCGGGTGGAATAATAACTGAATGCTTTCTCCAGCACTAGGAAACGGGTGCAGACTAACCAGACTTTTTGTGTAGTAAAACAGCTGTTGAAGCATGTCTGGACGAGCAAGAACGGCCAGGTGATGCTGGATTCTGCCAACGTTCGGATTCTTGTCAGCTGCTTGGTGGTACCAGTATCGGGCCACACCGGCCCAGGTCTCACGATCCCGGATGTCAGATTCTTCTACGGCCATGCGATAGCGCGCCAAGTCACCAAGACATTCGATCCAAGTATCCTCAAAGGCAGGCACGCTCTCTAGTAGTAGGGTCATCATCGAATAAGCCAAATACAGAAACGTAAGTGTATGCTCCAACGAATCTGGAAGTCGATGGCGCAACAATTCCAAAAATGAATGAATCCCATAACGCCACATGCGCGCCGGCATAGCGTACTTCTCCGATAACTTTTTCAGAGCCGGGCCCGCAGACGGGTGCTGCGAAGCGAGGAAAAAGTCATGATGCTCATGAAGCAAAGTCCGATGCAACGAAATCAGCGCCTGCCATTGGTGATCCGACAACTTATTCTTAGATTCAGCCTGCTGCTTATCAATCTCGATGCACTTCTTTTCTACCATCACCAACCCGGCATAGATCCCGCGGACCTCGTTCACCAATTGGTCTTCTGTTAACGGATGAGTCTCTAGCTGCCGTAGCTGTAGGGAGGACATCCGTTGAGTACCTGGGGCTGCTTCGCTGGACGTAGTCGTAAATCCTCTCGGGGGTCTCCGATCTCCCTCTCCATCAATACTATCATGAGATATCGGTTCTGGCGGTCCAGGTATGCTCTCCATGGGTGCCGAATTGTTCGCGCCGTGGCTGACGTTCGAACCAAAGCTGGATGTTGGCCTCTTCTGGTGCTGCGCGCCTGTTTCATGGTTGCCTTCACTTTCATTTTTCGGATTGAGATTCCGCAAGTCCATAGTGATATTGTCCTGACCGTCGGCACCGGAAGAAATGAAACTGCGGCTGCGATCTCGCGACGATGACGCGCTGGGTTTGCGCGGCGGCATGGGGCGGTGCACGAGTGGGTAGTTCGGAGATTCAGATCGCGGTAATTTCCGGCGGCGTGGCCCGGGAAAATTGGCGGCTTTTGAATTAGATCTCAACGATTTGACGGGCCGCTCATCATAGGCGCAGACACTCCGCGCGGTATTCGTACATCCTCGCTTATGGGACAGGGAAGATGAGCTGGGGACGAGACGTGAGACCTTTGCGGCAGACAAATCCGATGGCGAAGCGCGTCTGTTACTATTTGCGAGCCTGTTAAAACTCGGTGAATATAGGGCGGCAATTAACAAACACAGCCTCGATTGAAAATAGCAGCGATAGTGACAGAGCAAGAGACTTGGGGGCAGAAGACGATTTATATTCAAGCGATGTTGGGGCGGCGTGTGTCGCCACACTTGAAACTAACCTTGCTGGGAATAGGCCCGCGATCGGTATAGGACCAGAAACCCAATTCTCCCACCCTTCGTCGTTGTATGTGACATGACTGGGAGGACTGTTCATTTTTGGGCAAAGGAGAGTCGCGCACTGATGGAGAAATTCTTCGGGCATCTGACCATGTCAACCAAGAACATAAGACAACTGGCAAGCTGGCACCACGCACAAGTATGAAGACAAAGTTTTATAGATAATAACACAGCTGTCCAGCAAGATTCCTGTCTTTGATGGTCTACAGACTATTTCGGAGGGTCTTTATAAAAAAAAAAAAAGCACATAAGTCCCAGCCTAGTGTAAGTCGCATTGGAGCCTTGTTTGGCCATCAAAGTTTCTCTGCCGACTAGCGGCTGTAAGTGTGATTTAGATTCCAAGGATGCTTAGCCTCGTGAGTATGGAGGATCTAGCATACGGTAAGCAAATGCCTCAGCACCTCAGCATGGGATGATTAATCATTACAGGGCGGTCTGGTTGCCTGCTGCGGAGGCGGTCCAGAATGCGAACCATTTGTTGCCCTTTATAAAACACCCTTCGCCAACTCGGCTTCAGGTTTCGATTCTGGATTTTCCCATAATTTTTCCATATATTTCTAAATGGTCTTTATTTAGTAGCTTATATCTACAGAGTCCTCACTGGTATAATACGGAATACTGCCCGGTGATAGCTATAGTCCATTCCGCACTCTCGATATATACATCACTACATAGTTCTACTTGGGGCAACTAACGCATGCAGCTCGGAGAATACTCAATTGAGTGTCTGCCTACATACCCCCACGCCTATAGACGACTCAGACCACTACGATCAGCTGACCCTTAGTCTATGCACTGTCAGCAGGCTAACCGACCTCGTATGCTGCACTTGTCACCTCTGACCGAGCCTATCCATGGAAGCATTGCATTTGACTATCTGCGCACCAATAACTTTAAAAGAGCTGCCACGAAGAACCTATCATGCTACCTATGACGGAAAAACGAACGGCACTAACTTTGTACTTGTAAGAATAATACATCACCACTTCACCCATCACCAAGCATTACGTGAGAAAGATCCGGTACTGCCGCAGTTAGATTCTAGAGCCTCAATCGTATGCTCCTTGGATGGTGGAGGGGAGGGAAATACCTTTCCCATAACCACTGCGCGACATATCGGACAGTTGACCTTCTTAACCGGTCTCGTGGGGTCACTTTTCGTCGCTGGGATGTGCAGGTCCGCACACCATTGACAGAGGACCGCATGTCCACAAGGGATAATCACCGTATCGACCAGCTGGCTCATACATATCTTGCATTCGAGCTTGATCGTCATTTCAGAGCTTTCTTTGGCATCCGGCCGTCCATCGCCCATATTATCGAGGCAAGGGCCATTTCGAGCAGGGGGTTCTACCCTGACCCACCCTCCGTCTCGCCACTCAAGCGGACTTCTTGCTCTAAGCATGTTCGGATTGTACCATGCTTGGCCATGGGATGGGTGATCCTGAACACGAATTTCGAACCCTCGTCTTATGGCTTCTCTCCTAACGAGCCTTTGCCATTGTTCGAGAAATTCAGTAGGCGGTTGCAAGCTGGATTGTCGGGGGAAAGTGTAGTTTAGACTTGGAGGTTGGTCGTAGCTAGGGCTATCGATTCCAAGATTTTGGAAGGGTTGTGATAGGGGATTCGCTGCTCAGAAGAGACACATTAACATTGACGGACCAATAGCAACCAGGACTGCAACAGCATACATGGCCCGGAATTACCACTTGCAACGGCCGTGCCTTGGGGTACAGCCATTTCCGAATTCCCTACCATAGGGTCCTCGATGTACTGGCCAGAGGGACCTGTGGCAGGCCCTTCCATTTCGGCAGCCAAAAGCGTCTCGCCCAAGATTTGAAGGTTCGCAAGGGTACTGGCAATTTCTTCTCGAAGGACCTGAAGCTCTTCCCTCACCGTATCGATGGTCTCGTGGTGCGATTTTATTGAACGTCGGGGATGAATAGGGGAGAATGGCGCAGCTGCAATTAGGCTGGGCGCAGAGGTAGACGCGGGAAGCCTTGATAAGCCCAAAGCAATCAACCCGTTCACTTGACCAGGTAAACCACGGAGACTCCAGTGTTCTAAGGAGCAATAGACACAAGTGAGTGATGGGAGGAAAAAAGTGGCGGACACAGGAGAAACAAACAAAAGAAAACAGCAACGGTGGTGGCTATGGCAACACAGAATTCGACGACACGCAGTGAATGAGGGATTACAGACCCCAGCACTTCCAGCAGTATGCAGACGCAGACTGCTCTGCTGGTGTATATTGCCTACAATCGTTATTGGCAGACAGCAGAATGTGACCGGCAGGAGTGCTCGAATATTGTTGCACACACCAACAGCAGATAGATGTATCCAACTTCAGACAACCAATAGCATGTTTGTGGATACAGCTGGATGAGGCACAAGCAAACATTATCCTGCTAGTATTGCGGAAGTATGGAGTTGAGAGGAACCGCAAAAAGATGAGAACGGCCTGCGAGACAGCACTAAAGTTGCTGTTAGCACGCCTTCTTCCAATGGACGAGACACTGACCTAGAAAGCAAAGGTGAGATAGACGAGCGTATATTCAATAAGTGATCCTCGACTTAGCCAGATCTTTCAACATTGAAAGTAGTAGATTAAGGAATTAAATTGCGCAGAGAGCATAAAATACGGACAGTAGAAGCGGCAAAAAGACGCTGGCCGGCCTGTAGCTGGCGAGTCAGCCAGATCACCTGTTCACCTTTTTTTTTTACACTTTTCAATCCAAGACTTGAGGGAGTGCAAAGATAGACTATGGCGCTGAGGAGAAAGATGGAAAGAGAGAGACCTTTGACTGACGTCGACGCAACGTCTTAGCGGGTGTTTCCGAATTGGGAAGTCGCAAGTGAAGGATTATTTCCCCGCCAATCTACCCACTCCATTTACTCCATGCTCCATTCTGGCGGCCGGGGGACCGTACCTGTAACTTTTCCCGTCTCCGCCATCATTATGAATTTCTGAAGAAATTGTCCGGATGCACTTTCCATGTGTACTTGCTTGCATTTACTAGTTTGCACTTAATGTACACTGACTGATATCTGTTGTACGAAATCAGGGTCCCAATCCCGCCCTCAAGCCTCACCAGGCCAAATCCTATCAGCGACCCGCCGAACAAGCATCATCTTAGCCACCATATCATTCACCCCAACAGCATTACCACTACTATGACTCGCAAAACCACATTGCGGACTAACGCAAATCTGCTCTAGGGCCTCCCTCTCGCTCTTCCCACTTCCCTTCGATATACTCTTCGCAGCTTCATATACTCTAGCCACCATCGTATCGAAATTCTCCAGTTCCGGGTACTTACTACTGACAACTCCCAAGACGACATTCTTGTTCGACGGAAGGTACTGCAGAGGCCCAACCCCCCCAGCACGCTCCGTATCGAATTCCAGATAAAATGTGTGAACGTTTACTTTCTGTAGTAGCTCTTTTGCGATTCGGTCGTAGGGTCCTTCGGTGAAGTATCGTGAATTGACGAAGTTTCCGCGGCAGAGATGCAGGCCGATGTGCATTCCTTGGGGACATTTGGCCATGATATTGTTGTAGACATTGATGTACTTGGTAAATAGCTCGTCAGCAGTGCAAGTGTTGAGTTGGTCATTGTTGAAATTCTCGATCATATTTTCGTTGCAAAAGTCTTCATGCGTCGTTAGTTACCTATACAGATCAAGGTCCGGTATGAAATGACCTACAGCACATATTCGGATCATCGATTTGCACATTTCGCAAGCCGTGATCATACAGAACCTGTAGTTCTTTCTGATATGCTGCGACAGCATCCGCGAAATACTCTTCGTCATTCCTGTAGACGTTCTTCGGGTACGCAGAGCCCTCCCTGTATCGCAAATGGTACCAAGTCGGGGCAGGAATCGTAAGCTTAATATCCCCATGCTTCTTTTTTGGCATGATACTCTGAAGGTATCTGATCTGGTCGATATGGTCCTTCGACGCCGCAGGGGTATGCTTAATCTTTCCTGTACAGACAACAGTTTCACCCGGTTTGTAGTTTTTCTAAAGAGTCAGAGATAAAGCTTCTCACATTGATAGCCAGTGATAGTACCTCAAGAAAAGCTCCAACATCAGGGACATAAGATCTGAAGATCTTCACATCCGGTCCAACAATATTCGTCATGCCCTCCAAGTTCTCCCAAAATGTTCCCCAGAACATATGTCGGCGGTATTCCCCATCATTAATAGCTCGAAAACCATAGTCCTGCTGCAGCTTCACAATCTCATTTATGGCTTTGTTTTCTGCTTCACGCAATTGCGCACCTGAAGCTTTCTTGTCATTCCAGGCGTGTCGGGCTTCCAGTAAATAGTCTGGCCTCAGAAATGAGCCAATGTGCTCAGCGCGGAAGGGTGGATTGCGATACAATGAATAAGTCATGGTTAATTGAAAGTAAAGAGAGGATTCGGATACTCAAACAGAAATATGAGGGATCGTTCACTCTTATAGTACTACTATCCCCGCACGAGTCCACACCCGCCGGGATAGGGAACAATCCGACGGGTTATAGGAGTATATAAAAGTACACACTGTGCATGGCTTATGGATTTACGGATTTAGCTACTGGATTGCCGGTTAATCAACAAGGGATCAGTTGCTGCTTGTTTCCCGCGGGGAAGAGTATGTCTGGAGATTCAATCGTGGAGTATATTGCCAAAAGGAGACATTGGTATTGCAGCATGGGGTCATCGTGCTAATGCTTAGGTTTTCATAGGCACCAACGGTCACATGGCGAAGAGGTTAGGCTGAGTCTTCGTATCGGAAGCTCGAATGGACGCCCGAGGACATCACTAGCGTCCGACGGTGGAAAGATGAAAGCCTCGTCAATTCATGCCTGTACTGTACTTCTTCTAACAATGAAACCCACTCCGACCCCGACGGACATCCGGTGATCCTTCCGTCGGATCTAGACTAGGAAAGTAGACCTAATCTGTCTGATCTGATTAGTCTCGGCGCGGACCGCGGTACTGATCCCGCGTCCAATGACGTCATTCACGTTCCCCATCTCCCAACGTCGATTTTCCGGTGCAAAATAATCCTAGGCTACTACTCAGAAGCGTACTTGCTTATGCTCTACAGACTGCAGCAGTTCATGTGGCATTTTAGTCCACTTTCTTTTATTCCCCGTCCCATAACACGAGCACCACCAACAGCAGCAATGTCCACCTTCACAATCCCCAACCACTCCAACCTAACCGTCACCACAGCCCCCGACCTTTCCAGCGATGACCTTCTCCAATTTCCCGCATTCAAGATCTGGCTATCAACCGTACAACGCTCGTTGGAAAGACAGCAGAATCCCAAACATGAGTTTCACAAGGACCCGTATGTCCTCAGAAAGATCGACGTCCAATCGGTGGATCGGTTCAAAGGGGGACGACTGGGCTTTATCAAGTTCCGGGCGGATGTGTCGAACTCACAAGGGGAGGGCCTTCCAGGGAGTGTATTTCTAAGGGGCGGGAGTGTTGGGGTGCTAGTCAGTGACATCGTTCTTTATTTTATGACTCCATAAGCTGACTATTTAAATGCAGCTCATCCTCCAACCTGACGACGTACCCCCATCCAACGAAGACGAAAAGCGCGCAATCGTAACAATTCAACCCCGAATCCCAGCAGGCTCCCTCGCTTTCTCCGAGATTCCTGCCGGAATGCTCGACGACAGCGGAACATTTGCCGGAGCAGCAGCGAAGGAAATCGAAGAAGAGACGGGACTGTCAATACCGCAGAACGAACTGGTGGATATGACCTCGCTTGCGCTGCAGATTATGCATGAACCCAAGGATGGAGAAGCTTTACAGAGAGCTGTTTATCCTTCTGCGGGTGGGAGTGATGAGTTTATTCCGCTGTTTTTGTGCCAGAAGAGGATGTCGCGGCATGATATTGAGGGGTTGCAGGGTCGGTTGACAGGTTTAAGGCATGATGGGGAGAAAATTACGTTGAAGGTGGTGTCTTTGAAGGATTTGTGGAAGGAGGGATTGCGGGATGGGAAGACTTTGGCTGCGTGGGCGCTTTACAAGGGTCTTTCTGAAGAAGGGAGGATCTGATATCAAGCTATTTATACTCAATTGAACCCATATGTACAATCCTATGAGCGTTCAAAGCTTCAACTTCTTCGCAAGCTCAATACCTTCTGCTATTGTCCCCACACGAGCATCGATAGCATATCCCTCATTTTCCAACTTCTTGACCTCTCCAAGCAACGTACTCAGCGGCACTGAAAAACACTCAATAAACTCATTATCCTCAAGCTGCGGCTTCGGATTCTGGTTTTCGGGAAGCGACATGTCCACACGAACATGCACCATGTTCAAATTGGTATTACAGAATCCAGGATCTGTCTCGTTAGCCACTATCCCACCCTTCACACAAGAAGAAAAGCCCACTCACCATTATACATAACACTACTCGTCTTTTCCGCAACCCCAACATACCCAGTCTCCTCTTTCAACTCCCTAACTGCACACTCCTCAACACTCTCATTCGGATCAATTAACCCAGCTGGAACCTCAATAACAACCATATCAATCGGTGGCCTGTATTGTTTCTGGAGAAGGAGTTCGGGGCCGGTTGTCTTGTTCAGGATAGTGATTATGCCGACGCCGTCGATGGAGCAGTTTTTGGGGCGTGTTTGGCGTTCAGCGGATTCCCAGGTTCGTTCGATGCCGTTAGGGTCGAGGTAGGTTGTTTTTACGAGGCGGGCCCAGCGGGCTTCGGCGGGGTCCTGTTGCGTTTGTTAGCTTGGTTTGTGGATGGATAGGCTGTGGTCGGGGATTGGGGAAGTGGTGGGCGTACCAGCGGTCCCGCGGAAAGGAACTTTGACTTTGCGTAGTTTGGTGTCGACATTATAGCGTGAATATGTGATTGAATTAGCAGAAACGTGTCAAGTAGGCTGCGTAAAGGGTATCAAGGTATAAGGAATGAAGCTGAAGCTGAAGCTGTGATATGACATCCAAAGAGGAGACGGGAGGGGTTGAGCTTAATTTCCATATCTGGTTAGTTTGATAAGAGGGCTGGCCCTTATCTGCGATATAAGATAAGATACAATTCTCATACAGAGAAGTACGAGCAGAGCATTACAGACATTTGACTTCTAGATTAGCCAACTAAGGACCCCATGCTGATTTTTCTTTACGTGGGGTCTAAGGTGTTGTTGGAACATGTTGATAAGGCTTATTCTCGATCCATGCGCACGGAGTATGTAGGAACGGAGCCGGTCTGATCATGATTAAAAATAACGTGTACGCGGACTACTGTAATAACAAGGGATCATCTGTAGAACAGATGATCTGACCAAGTGGATAGCAAATATAGTTCCCCCTCTCTTGTGGAACCCCCCGAAACTCAGTCAACCCGCAAATAGCGGACATACCGACTGACCGGGTACGATAGTGAAACAAAGACGCATACATAATGACATTGTCCAACAACGCCGTTGTAACTCCTACTTGTACTACTCGGCTCGGGCATCTGCGGAAATGGAATGGCTGGGTGACTGTATCACCACACCAAGATATTTATGGCTGGTCTTATCATAGTCATTGTAATGCCTCGTGCTTACTGTCTTGGACCCAGAATGTCTCCTGACCCGACCCAAACCCTGTACGGAGAGAATCGTTGGTGACACACTACGGCGATACCCAGTGCCAAAGCAGAAAATTGGAGAATATGCACGATTGGGAAACCATTTTATTGTATTCTGCAGGCTACAGACAACATTATTGAATTGGTATCATTGCCCATAAGAACCTGTCTATGGTACAAGCTTCATAAATAATGCACAGGAAAAGTAAAGTAATGCTAGGGAATTAACCGATCCATAACCCATAAAAGAAAATCCGTAAGCTCCGTAACGACCAACGCTCGCGTTATCGTGATTTCATGCGAAAGGTTCGAATAAAAAAATTAAGTCGTAAAGGGCGAAGAAAGAAATAGAGTAATCGTGGAGTTTAGGAAGCCTCGATCTCGCCAAGGCACTTCTCGAACTCGGTCCAGTCCTTCATGACGACCTTGGCACCGAGTTGCTCGAGCTGCTGAGCCATCTCCAACTTCTTGTTGTCATCGGGGTAGCTCCCAACGTAGGCGATGCAGTGGATACCGGCACGGATGGCGCTGAGCGCACCAGACTTGCTGTCCTCGATGGCAACGGTCTCCTCGGCCTTCTTGCCACATTTGTCAAGAGCATGGAGGTAGATGGCAGGGTCAGGCTTGGAGGTAGGCTTGGCCAAGGAGCTGGCAGCGCTGAAAACCAGTTCGGGGTCGAGCCACTTGTCCTGGCCGACCTTCTTGATGGAAGCCCGAACACGGCGGAGAGCGGACGAAGAAACGACGGCCATGTCATACTTCTTGGAGTTGTAGAGGTTCTCCAACACCTCGTTGACACCGATGCAAGGCTGGGCCTTCTCGTTCAACTTGACGATGACCTTGTCCTCCTCCTTCTTGACGTAGTCCTCAAGCTCTTCCTTGGACAACTCGAACTTGTACTTGGCCTGAAGAGAGATCATCATTCCACGGAAGTTCTGACCGACGAAGTCCTGGATGAGCTGAGAGCCGGTGTAACGGTCCGAGATGCCACGCTTCTCGAGGATTTCATTGGCGAGATCAGCACACGCCTCGAAGGCCAACTCTTCCGAGAGGACGAGAGTGTTGTCGCAGTCGAAGAAAAGCTCAGTAATCTGGAGACTTGTCAGCTGACACGAATAAGAAGCAAGTAATTGATAAACGGACCTTAGGCATGATGACTGAAGTGGTAAGAGTACGCAAATGTGTAGAGTATCGGGAAGAGATACGAGTGGTAGATGGAGTGGTGGCAAGAAAGGACGAAAAGAAGTGGGAGAGAAAGAGAGTTGTTGTTAAGCGAGGTGATGTGGTGAAGTCAAGATGAGTGAATGATGGCAAGGGAGAAAGGTGGCTTAAGTATTCACTCCTTCCTAAGACACCACAATGGCTGTGAAATCACTAGCCGTTCCAAACTCGGAAATAAGCGGGTCGGGCTCCACCGAATTGAGGTCATATCATGACGTTAGCGATTGGGCAGGAATGACCAATTACAATACATATTTTCGGCTAAAACCGGGTCCATTCCTTGTTTGGGAAACGCTCAGCACCTCCTCTCGCTAAGCCACTTTGGGAATAGCACATCATTCATGGAAAGACGGAGAATCCAGCGTCATTAATTGCCTGCGAATCGAATCGAAAGGTTTCTGTATTCGGATATGGGAAGCCATACTAACCTGGTGCTGCCCAATACAGGAGGTAGGCCGTGCGTTATCAGTTACGAGTTGATAGGTAGAGTACGCATTCCTGCTCTATAATGTACGGGGCAGTACTTGTTAAATCATAAAGTATTTGTAAATATGGGAGTCATGATATCAGCTATTCTTTGAAAGATACCATTCAAGTTATCAAGATTCCATTATGCCAAGTCCATATTAGTTCACGAAATCGACTATGCCTCGGAGTCTGCCAATTTAGCCTGGTGCTGGGCTACAGTGAGTGTAGCTTGAGCGACTATGCACGAAATGACCGATTGGTTCTCCTGTTGATTCCGGACGACAATACTCCAGAGTACGATGAATGCAACTTTTCCAGCTATTCCCCCTTGATTCCAGCACCATTCTATTCCATACTTGGTATGGAGTCTATATTCGAATAGCCCCAGCATCTTCCAGAAGATACCAATCACTATAAACAGTAACAAAGAGTCTCAAATTTTGGCACCGGAGTCTAGCCATATTGTACATACATGTACATACTCACTCTTGTGGCCCACGCTATCTATACAATCTGTAAGCTGATTGGCCACGTTCCATAAAATGTACCAATCCACTCCACCGTGAAAATTGTTCTAGTCGATGATTCGTAGAAACCCCTCTTTTTTCTATCATTTTCTTTCCTGTTTCTCGCTTCTGATACTCTACGAAAGTAAACAATCAACCATGGGTACCTCCGAGCCATACCCCGTGTCCATATCGGATCTACACTTTCCCTCTACAGAACAACAGACCATCTCGCAGACTCTCTCCTCGCTGCGCCGGTCAGCCCTCTCCATCACCAACCGCCTCCGTTCCGTGCAGTCCGATGCCAGTTTCGTGCAGGAGGTTGCAGACCAGTACGATCTGCCGCTGGTCGCCAATGAGCGCTGCGGGAGTTGGTATATCCCTCCCAATGCCAAGGCTGGAAGCGCATACTTCAAGAGCACAGACGGCCATACCGGACAGTGGGACTTTAGCTTTCGTAGGCTGAATTTGCAAGTTTTCCCTGTTGCAAGGGAGCATGGGGGGTGAGTTAGTTTACTGCTGCTATTACGATGATGTCTTGTAAGAGTCTCACCAACTGTGCAGATGCATTATTGTGGATTCTACCCGTCGCGGGAAATGTAAGTCTCTAATCCCGGGGTCTTCATATATTATCATCCTTTGACATGCAGCCTTCCCTTTCTGTCAGTGATGCCTGATGCCCTCTCAAAGACCGTTCCAATATGGTGCGCTGTTATCAATCGGGCCCTGTTCCCCTCCGAAACGGACTATCACGCCGTGAAGTTTCCGCCGGAGTATCTGCCGGCTTCCGAGGAGTCGCAGATTGAAAACAGGATTGATGGTTTTGTCCAGTCTCTCAAGGTACCTTTACTCTATGCTCATCCCTAGATGATAGTAACCAACAAGACTAGGACCTCAAGCTCGACCTAGACAATCTCCGCCAACAACTAACCAAACCCATCCGCGTGGCATGGGCCAACCGATCCTATTTTTACCCCACCGACCTATCCAAAGACCCCAAATACAACCTCATAGTCCTATGCTCTGCCTCCAAGCGCGTGCACGGCGCCGAAATGTCCGAGGGCGGCTACATCCAAGGCGCGGGGGATGACAGCGAAGGCTGGGCTCACGGACTCACCCCGCCCGTTTTCTGGGCCAACCAGTCCGTGCTCTTCTCCACGCACGAGGAAAATTTGCCGTCCGTCATACAGGACCTCGTGGATGAACATCGACGACAGGATACAGGTCATCAGGCGATCTTGGTCGCGCCCACTAAGAATCTGTATATTAGCCAGACGGATCCAAGCGTGAATGAGAGTGGGCGCTATGACTTGGTGATTGATTGTAACGGTAGCCCTGAAGCGGAGGCGGTGCAGGGAAGTCCGAGAAGGCTGAATCTGGGGTGCGGGCATTCGAAGTTGGGGAGTCGGGATCTGAGAAAGCAGTTGGATAAGGTTAAGGAGTTTGTGGAGACGCAGATGGCTAAGGATCCGAGTAGGTCGCTGCTAGTGACTTGTGAGACTGGGAAGGATTTGTCCCCGGCAGCTTTGCTTGCGGTTCTGTGTTTGTTCTACAACGATGATGGTAGGTCAAGTCGGGTCAGGGCTCTTTAGGACCAGCGCTAACTACTACAGGGGAGTTTATCACATCCCCAGCAAACCGTGTGATAGAAAAGCAATTCATTCGCCAGCGTCTTGCCTGGATTGTATCGTCGAAACACGATGTCAACCCTTCCCGGTCCACGCTTCAATCAGTCAACGCTTTCTTAATGTCGTGACGAACTCATGGTATTAAGCCGAGTCGCTATCGAATTAAATGTACAGAACAAATATACAATGCACTTTACTCATTCTCAACCGCCTCGACAATAGCTCCCGCACTTCCCTGATCAAGCGCGTTCAACACAGCCACATCCTCCTCGCTGATATCAAAGTCGAAAACATTCGCGTTGGCAAAGATCCGGTCCGGGTCATCAGTCTTGGGCAGCGGCACCCATTGCTTCTGCAAAGCGTAGCGAATCAGAACCTGCTGCGTCGTCTTTCCGTACTTCGTGGCCAGCTCAACCAGCGTAGGGTCGTTGGCCTTGTAGTTGCGAACAATGGGCGAATACGCTTCCACGACGATACCGTTCTTCTTGCAGTATGCGTCGATCACGCGTTGTTGGCTCCAGGGGTGGAGCTGCGCTGTTAGTACCAAAACATCCTATACCTTCAAATGACTGAGACTCACCTCAATCTGATTCACATGTGGCGGCCACACCTTCGCCCAAGGCTTAAGCTCCTCAATATGTTTAACTCCAAAGTTACTAACCCCAATAGCCCTCGCCTTCCCCTCCTCATACAACCTCTCCAACGCCTGCCAAAGCTGCTTCCTCCCTGCACTCCCAGACCCCGAGCTATGAATCAAGAACAAATCCACATACCCTCCAGAACCCCCAACCTTCTCAACACTAGCCAGCAATTTATCGTATGTAGCCTCCAGCGAACCCGCAGGACTCAGGATCTTAGTCGTCGCGAAAATCTGGTCGCGCGGGATCCCCGATTTCCGAATCGCCTCGCCGACTTCAGCTTCGTTCGCGTAGAACTGCGCCGTATCGATGTGGCGGTAGCCGGCTTCGAGGGCTTTAAGGCACGAGGTCACGCATTGGTTTGTTGGGGAGCGGTAAACACCGAACCCGAGGCGGGGGATCTGGACAGGGGTGTTGGGGAGTGGGAGGGTGTCGGTGATTGTGTACTTGGGCATTTTGTTCGTTCTCGATCAGCACGTCTGTGTCGATTTGCGAGAGTTCTGTTGAAATGAAATTGGTGGTGTAGAGGGTGGTGAGGATTCGGCGCCGCGAGATAAGTTGGTTTTGAAGCTCTTTTGCCCCGCCGTCGGGAATGATATCATCACGGACCGGGCTTATTGCGCAATTCTTTCTTGTGAGTCAACAGCGGTACCTTTTCAGATTCAGATTTTTTTTTTTTTTATAGATATTGTTGATCAGCAATATCAAAATGGAAGGGGTAATTTATGGTGTGTGTTCTCAAACCCAGCAATTACCCCTGGTGCCTCCTTTAAATGACCTTCCTATGGAAAATCAGTACCAGAGACTGATGCCATGGATTGATTCGGAATATTTTTAAAATCGCTCACCGACATAAAGTACAAGCATTGACAGCTTGCTCTCAACTTTTCTTCCAAACAATTTCTACTGAAATCTAAGATTCATTCGAATAATTCTATGACCTCAAATCATACATTAAGCGGCGCAGCCAAAGAAGCCAAAAGACGCGCCTTAAGAAAGGAGAGACCAATAGTCATGAAACGCCAGATGAAGTTCTCACAATGAATCTTCAATATAACAAGCCCTAGCATCGTTAGGAACTTTCGGGGCTCACATCGAGAATCCCTCTCTTGAAGCAGCAAAGCAGGGGCTGCAACGCTATAAAGGGACTGTGGTGGAGAATTAAACCAGCTGTCTGTTACTGGAGCTGCTTGAAGTTCTTAATTTTGAAGGTCAGAGGAATCTGTGCTTTGGTGTACTTAACATGATGATGGTCAGATCCGAGAGTTCCTATTTCATCCTTATAGAGCTTTCGAGTGTCCTCTTAACGATATGCACCCCCCTCCCCTAACTGACATGTGTCTAGTGAAAGCCACCAGCGGGAAATATCAAAAATAAGCACTGCTGATAACGATAACGATAACGATGAAGATCTAGATCCGGATCTGGCTGGTCGGTCTAAATTAAGAGAAGATTGCCTACTTCGAGATGAAAACCCTTGCATGATCAGCGGACATTATGATGTCTATCAAATACCCCGGAAAGAGCGAGAAGGCTAGCTGACTACATATACTTCATGCTCACACATCTATCCGTATTTATTGGGGCCTAGGACATTGAATGGTATATCAACTAGCGGAGAGGTAAGTAATCTCTATCCTTTCTTATTAAAACATAGCTGGAGAGAAAAAAAAAAGTAGTTGAGTAGGGTCTCTCGTTTCTGGGCATTCGTTCCCAAATGCCAGAGGTATTGTATTGGACATGAACAAGTCGAGGGGAGATAAATACCCGGCGTAATACAATGACAGATGATAGCACATTGCATACTGCTTTCGCGAGTTTTCAGTTGACGTTGGAACCCCTTGGGGTATGTCTGTTACAGGCAAGTCTACTTTCAAACTACAACAGACATCAAACTCCCGGATCCATAACTCCTGAGAGCGCATCATGCAATAGCGGCATTCCTTCATGCAAGTGGAATCGGGGAAGAAATCGATAACATTCTAGAAGGTGACATGGAAGCTGAGGAGGCTTATGATCCTTCTGGTATCGATTTAGAAAGTGTGAATCGCTTGCTTACCGCTATCAACTAACCTAACAATAACTCAGGGGTACTTGTATTTATAGCTAGTCCGGATAAACTACGCATAGAACCATAGAAAGCGAGTACCATCCATGGCTCTGCGGTTATTACTGTGGAGGAGGCTGGTGATTGGGTGGCAATACCGTACCGTACCGTACCGCTGGCAATCGCAGGGGCACATGGCGGTACGGCTTCGATAACGACATTCCACGGCAGAAACAGAGTCAGTCAACAACATCCAGCCTCTTTTTTTTTTTTTTTTAGTATTCTTCTTCTTTCCCCTTTACTGTCAATTCTTCTCTTTTACGGATTTGCTGCATCGTGAAAGGTTCTTTGTATTCTTCTTTATCAACCCCCCTTCATACTCCGTCCCTCTTACCGACTCCGCGATTGGAGAAAAGGAAAAAAAGCGGTTCCTTACCAACTCAACCCAACCTTAGCAAAAAATTCCTAGCAGAACAGCCCTGGATGCCGCTATAATCCAGCATCCTCTTTAACCATGTTGCAGGTCGAGAAGCAATGGATTAATGTGCAGCAGAAGACATTCACCAAATGGTCAGTCGCATTTTGTTTACCGTGGTCCCCTCTCCCCTCCCCCCTCCTTGCCCCTCGGACGAAGCGCCGGGGAGTTTGTACCCGAATGCTCCGTTGTGTCGCTTTCCCTCTTGACTGATAATGAAGGAAGATCTGTTTGCTAACTATCACGACTTTACAGGCTCAATGACAAGATCAAGGTTCGAAATGTCTTAATCGATGATCTCGTGGTCGACCTCTCCGACGGTGTGAGTCCTCACCCATACCCCGGTATTCCTGTCAACTTTGTGCAGACTAGCTCGAATAATTTCACATGAACGAGCGTTGACCGTTACTCTCCTAGGTCATCCTCATCCACCTCCTAGAAATCCTCGGTGCAGAGTCCCTAGGTCGATATGCCTCGAGACCCAAGCTCCGCGTGCAGAAATTCGAAAATGTCAACAAGAGTCTTGATTTCGTCAAAGGGAGGGGGATCCAAATGACCAACATTGGAGCGGAAGATGTGGTCGATGGAAATAGGAAGATTATCCTGGGTCTGATTTGGACGCTCATTTTACGGTTCACCATCAGCGATATTAACGAGGAGGGTATGACCGCCAAGGAAGGTCTGTTACTGTGGTGTCAGAGAAAGACGGCTTGCTACGACGGTGTCGAGGTTCGCGATTTCTCTACCAGCTGGAACGACGGCCTGGCGTTCTGTGCCCTTCTCGATATCCACCGTCCTGACCTGATCGATTACGATGCTCTTGACAAGAGCGACCACCGCGGAAACATGAAACGTGCCTTTGATATTGCGGCCAACGAGATTGGTATTCCTGATCTGCTCGATGTCGATGATGTTTGCGATGTTGCGAGACCCGATGAGCGTTCGTTGATGACCTACATTGCCTACTGGTTCCATGCCTTTTCTCAGCTGGAGAGAGTGGAGAATGCCGGTCGTCGTGTGGAGAAATTTGTCAACAATATGCACGGGGCGTGGGAGATGCAGAACTCGTACGAACGGCGAATGAAGGAACTCATCCGCACAATCCGGGGGCAACGTGATGGGTGGAAGAACTCTTCCTTTGAAGGAACCTACAAAGACGCCAAGGAGCAGGCTCGCCAGTTCTCGCTTTACAAGAGAAACCACAAACGCCAATGGGTTGCGGAGAAATCGGATTTGGCCGCTCTTCTGGGCAACATTAAAACCAAGCTCAGTACTTACCGGCTGCGTGCCTACGAACCCCCACCGGAGCTTACCCCAGATGCCTGCGACCAGGAGTGGGAGTTACTGACAAAGGATGAGCATGAACGTAGTCAACTCATCAACGAAACCATCCGAGATATCAAGAACGCCCTGCGTCGCTCCTTTGCGGACAAAGCCAATGACTTCGCCCTTACCCTGAAAACCCTCTCGCTTGCCATTTCCGGTCTCGACGGCGATGTAGAAGACCAATTAGCTCATGTTCAGAGACTCAACGACAACCTCCCTCCCCTCGATGCCTTCTTAGATACCATTGCCGCAATAGATGAGCAGTGCGCGGAAGCCAACATTGAAGAAAACGACTACACTACATACACCCTAGACGAACTCTCATACGAGCTGAGCCTGGTCAAATCCAGCATCTCCAAGAAACTGGCGTTCCTGGACAACCAGCTTGTGGCCCGAAACATGACAAACCTTACGCCGATTCAGCTGGAGGAGTTTGAGTCTGTATTCCGGCACTTCGATCGCGACTCGTCTAATACACTGCAAGAACTGGAATTCTCTGCTGCGTTGGCGAGTTTGGGTCTTGTATATGATGAGGATGAGATGCACGATGTCTATGTTGAGACGTGTGGCCCTGCTCGGCTCCAACAGAATGCTGGCGTCAGTTTTGAGCAGTTTATCCGGTTTATGGTCAGTGTCACGGAGGATCAGAACACGGCAGAGCAGGTTTTCCAGAGTTTCAAGGAGGTTGCAGATGGAAAGGTATGTTTTGTCCACCCTAGGATAAAATCAAGAAACTAAAGCGTGTCTTGCAGCCCTATGTTACAGAAATCGACCTTCGGCACTCCCTTATTCCGGACGAAGTTATCGAGCACCTTGTTCAAACAATGCCGCAGCATGATGGCCCCGATCTTATGGAAGACAGAGATCTTCCGAAGTACGACTACATCAGCTTCATGGAGAAGTTGATGGAAGCCAACAACAATAATAACAGCAACGACGGTGGCGGCATAAGCGAGTTGTCCGCCAATGGAGATTAATTGCATTATTTGATTCATCCAGCATTTTCGGTTGTTCAGGTTCTCGTTTCTGTTTTACTTTATTTGTTTTCTGGGTGCTCTATGGGTGTTCTCTGGAGCTCGGAGGGTTTGGCTCTTGACTGGCGACCACATTGATCATGCATACATTTTTTCTTTCTTCCTCGTTGCATTGTTAGAGTTTCTGGTTCTCTGTTCTCTCTTTCTTTGGTGCCTTATATCCGAGCTCATGGGATGACTACTTTTTGTGTACGCCACAATTTGGGAAATGAGGGTAATAACTAAAAACAATAGAAATCATGTTAATGGTATCGGCCATATGCTTGTATAGATTAATCTCAAAAAGCATGAAGTGGTCCAATTGGCGTTTATATCACGTGACTCCCGATCGGCGGGAATCAATTGAAGCGCGGCGGAGAGCTTGTTTGTTCCTCGCCAGCTATTCGATTTCTCCCATCAAGCCGCGCAAGTCATTGCCTTTACCACAATATATTATCCCTTTTAAATTATCATTAACGCTCTTCATCTTCACCTTGACCCTCTTGCGACACGTCCAAAATGGACCGCACCTTGGACGAAATCATTGCCGAACGTCCTGTATGTCTTAACAGCTCTGCACCGACAAACGACAATAGAACTAACGGTATAGCAGCAGAGACAACCCCAGAACCAGAACCGTGGTGGTCGCCGCCCTCAAGGCCGTCGCCGTGATGGCGTGAAAAAGGTATTAATTTTTTATTTTATTTTATTTTTTTTCCTGATGAGAGAATTGCGCTGACATGTCGGGTTTCTCTGAAATAGGTCCTCCCTCCTGTTCTCCTTTCGAGCTTTCCTCATTCTCTACCTTCATCTCTACCTCCTCATACTCTCCTCGTACGGTGAAACAAACAAAATAAAAAGGCGAAAAAGAAAGAATCAAATGCATTCGCTGGCTGGTCCTGTCGTTTCAAAAGACGCTACACCGCGAGGAACGGAGCTTTTCTTTTTTTTTTTTTTTTTTTTTTTTTTTTTTAACAC